CTGCCCAGGTGGGTCTCGAACCCACGGGCTCAGGCAATCCACTCACGTCAGCCTCCCAAAGGTGTGGGATTACAGGTTGAGCCACTGAGCCCGGCCAGTCGGTTAGAATGATCTTTTCCACCCATGGGCTCTCTGTTCCCCATGTCAATCAACCAAAGAGTCTTTTCAGAAAACAATGACGTCTTCCAATCTTCTGTCCACTTTTTTTTCTGTTCATTTTTAAAGTGGGTTCTTGGCCAGGCTTGATAGCTCAAGCCTGTAATCCTAGCACTTTGGGATGCTGAGGTGAGAGGATTGCCTGAGTCCAGGGCTTCAAGACCAGGCTGGGCAACTTGGTGAGATCTCATCTCTACAATAAATAAAAAAATTAGCCAGGCATGATGGTGTGTGCCTGTGGTTCCAGATGCTTGGAAGGCTGAAGCAGAAGGATAGCCTGAGCCCAGCAGGTCGAGGCTATAGTGGCAGTGAGCATGCCACTGCACTCCAGCTGGGGCAGTAGGCGACAGAATGAGACTCTGACTCAAAACAAACAAACAAAAAAGAAAGTGGGTTCTTTATCTTTCTATTATGGAGAGGTAAGTCTTCTTTACATATTCTGGATACAAGTCCCTTATCAGATATAAGATTTGAAAATAATTTCTTCAAGAAGATACAGAGCAAGTGAAAAGATGCTCAACAGTTTTAGACATTAGAGACATGCAAGTCCAAACAGGGTAAGATACCACTTGCTACTCACTAGGAGAGCAGTCATCGAGTAGACAATACCAGGTGTTGGTGAGATTGTGGAGAATCTGAACCCTCATTCATTGCTGATAACGAAGTAAAATGTTGTGGTCACTTTGGAAAATAGTTTGGCAGTTACTCAAAATGTTAAACATGGCGTGTTAGTTATATGGGTTATAATTTAATATAAGGATTACAGTTAAACATATATTAAAAATATGAACTAGCAATTCTGCTTCTAGGTATATATTCAAAAACAATAAAAACACACATCTACATACAAACTTGTACACAAATGTTCACAGTAGCACTATTCATGATGGCTAAAAAGTGGAAACATCCCAGATATTCACCAAGCGATAGATGGATACATAAAATGTGGTAAAGCCATACAATGAAATATTATTTGACAATAAATAGGAGTGAAGTACTGATATACTCTACAACATGGATAAACTTTAAAAACATTATGCTCAGCCTGGGCAACATAGTGAGACCTCATCTCTACAAAAAACAAAATAAAAAAATTAGTTGGGTGTGGTGGTGCACGCCTGTAGTCCTAGCTACTCGAGAGGCTGAGATGGAAGGATCACCTGAGCTCAGAAGACAGACTGCAGTGAGCAGTGATCGTTCCATTGCACTCCAGCCTGGGTGATGGAATGAGACCCTGACTCAAATATAAATCATGCTATTATGCTAAATAAGCTGGGCACAGTGGCTCATGTCTGTAATCCCAGCATTTTGGGAGGCCAAGGCAGGAGGAGTGCTTGAGCCCAGGAGTTCCAAGACCAGCCTGGGCAACACAGTGAGTCCTTATCACTACAAAAATCAAAAAATTAGCCAGGCATGGTGGTGTATACCTGTAGTCTCAGCTACTGGAGAGGCTAAGGTGGAAAGATCACCTGAGTTTAGGTCAAGGCTGCAGTGAGCCACGATTGTGTTACTGCAGTCCAGTCTGGGCGACCAAGTAAACCTTGATGCAAAATATAAGCAAATAAATAAATCTAAAAATATCACACCACATGAAGAAAGGAAGTCACTAAAGACCCTATATAAAGACCTTATATATATTGCATGATTCCATTTCTATGCATGTCCAGAGGAGGCAAATCTGTAGAAATAGAAAGTGGCTTGGTGGTTGCCAGGGCCTTGGGGAAGAGGAAATGGAGAGTGACTGCTAAGAACTACGGGGCTCTTTTGGAGTGACAAGATGTCCTAAAATTAGATTGTGGTGATGGTTACACAGCCCTTCTAATATACTAAAAGTTATGGAATTGTATACGTTTAATAATTGAGTTGGAGTCTCACTCTGTCACCCAGGCTGGAGTACAATGGCATGTTCACAGCCACCACAGCCCTCACCTGCTGGTGCTCAGGTAATCCTTTTGCCTCAGTCTTCCAAGTAGCCGGAGCTACAGGCACATGCCACTAAACTCAGCTAATTTTTTGATTGATTGTAGAGACGAGTACTCACCAAGTTGCCCAGGCTGGTCTCAAACCCCTGGACTCAGGCAATCCTCTGGTGTCTGCCTTCCAAAGTGCTGGGATTACAGGCATGAACCACTGCCCCCGCCTGGCTACCTTCCCTCTTTTATCTCTCCCTGTTTTTACCCAGTTATCTTTAAAAATACCATTTAGTTTACTTGCCATATTCATTATCTGAAGCCTTTCATCAGAACATGTGCAGAACAAGGGCGGTGATTTTTCTTTTTTTTTAACTGGTGATCCTCAGAGCCAAGAACAGTCGGCACATAGCAGGCCGTATAAATATGTTTTTGAGCTGATCAACGAGTGGACGAAATGAGAACTTGGCTACTGGGAGCTGTAAGGAGCCTGTGTTGGAAAAACGTGTAATCCTAATGTTGAGTTTTTTAGTTTGCTAAAAAAAAAAAAAGAAAAGGGAGATTCCAGCACTTTGGGAGGCTGAGGTGGGAGGATCAGTAGAAGCCAGGCATTGGCGACCAGTCTGGACAACACAGGGAGTCTCCCTCTCTACAAAAAAAAAAAAATTAAAAAATGACACAGTGCATAGACTCACATTTAGAAGTGACTTCTTTGGGGGAAAAATTTTTAAAAGGAAAGGGAGACGGAGAGGAGCACAACTTTGAAAACCAAGGACGGCTAGTTTTCCTTTGTTTTCAAGTTTCTTTCTGATTTCACGCCTATACTCCCGGGCACCTAACAAGCTCAATACCTGCCTGGAACTTCCACCTGGTCGCCGCCTCTTGTACCGGCACCGACCTGGGTGGGCTCCAAGCCGTGCAGCTAAGAAAACGCGGAGACTCGACCCCCTAAGGATGCGCGGCTGCGACCGAGGCGCGAGCATGCGCAGTAGCCAGAATCCTTAGCGTGCGCGGGAAGCTGGGCCGCGTCCGTCTGTGATTGGCTGCTGTGGTGGACTCCCGCCCACTGAGACGCGCCGCTGCATCCTGATTGGGTGTGTCCGCAGAGGCTGGAGGCCGCCGGGGGCGGGGGGTGGGGGACGAGGGAAGGGAGGCGGGAAACAGCTTGGTGGGTGCGGGGTCGCGCGTTTCTCTCAGCCGGGCGGTTCCGAAATGGCGGTGCAGCCGAAGGAGACGCTGCAGCTGGAGAGCGCGGCCGAGGTCGGCTTCGTGCGCTTCTTCCAGGGCATGCCGGAGAAGCCGACCACCACGGTGCGCCTCTTCGACCGGGGCGACTTCTACACGGCGCACGGCGAGGACGCGCTGCT